TTGTACTGGGCAAATCTATTGTAAGAGACCCCTTTAAAGTACTGAAGAGCAAAGGTGTCATTTTGAAAACTAAGGTGTGCCTAACCCAAGTCATGGTATTTTCAGTCACCTCATATGCATGTGAAAGCTGGACAATGAACAAGAAAGACCAAAGAAGAGTTAATGCCTTTGAATTATGATGTTGGTGAAGAATATTGAAAATACCATGCACTGCCAGAAGAACTAACAAATCTGCCTTGGAAGAAGTGCAGCCAGAATGCTCCTTGAAAGCAGGAATGGCCAGACTTCATCTCATCTACTTTGGTCATGCTGTCAGAAGAGACCATTCCCTGGAGAGGGTATCATGCTTGGTGAAGTGGAGGATCAGTGAAAAAGGGGAAGGGCCTCAATAAGATGGATTGACACAGTGGCTGCAATGATAATACCAAGTATAGCAAGGATTGTGAGGATGGAGCATGACCGGGCAGTGTTTCATTCTATTATACATAGAGTCACTATGAGTCGAAGCTGACTCCATGGCACCTAACAATAACAGGAAGAAAAGACCAACATGGATGTCAGAAGAGACTCTGAAATTTGCTCTTGAATGGAGGGTACCTAAAGCAAATGGAAGAAAAGACAAGATAAAAGAGCAAAATGGAAGATTCCAAAGGGCAGCATGAGAAGACAAAGTATTATAATTAAATGTTCAGAGACCTGAAGTCAGAAAATGAAAAAGGCAGAACATGCTCTGCATTTATTAAGCTGAAAGAACTGAAGAAAAAATCAAGCCTTGACTTGTAATGTTGAAGGACTCTATGAGCAAGATATTGAAAAAATTACATCATTACTATCTGCCAAACCAGTGAGAATCATGGTTCAGCCAAGTTGACACATATTTTTGGAGGACACAATTCGAACCATGACAAATACCTTAATAAAAATTTTAATTCAGACAGTTGATAGTTGTTGTATATTAAAATAAGGACCCAAATTATTTTTAACTTGAACTCAAAGAATATACATTTCTAGCCCCTTTCCATATAATGAATCAGAATCGACATCCTAACAAGATTCTTATGTATATGTAAGAATCACCTGGGGGCCTTGTGAAAATCTAGATTCTAATTCAATATACATGAGGTGGTGGTTGTTGTGTTGTGATGTGCTGTAGCGACCCCTCCTTTAGTTTCCAAGGCAGTATCACTACAGAAGTAGATTGCCCAACCTTCCTTCCAAGGAGTGGCCCTGAAATAATCTAAGTTATGTAAACAAACTCTGTCTCCAAAAAATGTTAATCATGGTGCTAATGGAAAAATAAAAATAGAAATAATCTTAATGTTAAAAAGTGGGTACCTAGTTAAATAAAGAAGGAACTCTGATGGCATAGTGGTTAAGTGCTTAGCTGCTAATAGAAAGGTCAGAAGGAGGGGACTTCTGGTAAGATGGTGGAATAGGCAAACAAGCTACATATTCTTCAACAAAGAAAAGAGAAATCAATTGACAGAGGTACAGAAGATAATCCTAGAGCCCTGAGCTTTGAAATGAAGGATACAGAAGTGGATTAGGCACCAACTAGTGGAAAACCTGAATGAAAACAGTGAGTATGGAGAAAGACAGAGCTGCAGACTGTCAGCTACTCTACTGACAGTATCAACAGCCTGAATATTTCCAAGTGGTGTTGGGATCTGAGAATTAACCTAAAGATCAGCCCTGGTTGCCAAGGGCTCCAGGGACTGTGCTGGTGGCTAATTACTAGGAAGGGAAACAGCAAGGAGGGAGACAACCTGAGCTGTGGACTTTCAACTGTCTCAGGTGTGTGTGTGGGGTAGCCATTTTGATTATTTACAAATGGTGGTCATTTTGGATATTTAAAGTGTCCAAGGGCATAACCATTTTGAATGTTTACAAGTGGTGGCCATTTTGGATATTTAAAGTGACAGCATTCTCATTCGGATTCCAGGGACCTAAGAATAGGCTTCGCTTGCTAAGGATGGCAGGGACATATAAGAAGGTGACAACAGGAAAGGAGACAGGTGGTGAGTATGTAAGTGCTGCCAACTAGTGAATAGAGGAGCACAGCACCCTGCTTGCATAGATAACATCCAAAGAAAACAAAAATTGTGGGCAAGTCACTCAAACATACAATCACCAATTAAATATAAACACAAAAAGTCACAATATCTCAGAGCCAACAGAGAATCACAGTCCACACAAAGAAGCAAGATAAAGGAAGAGAAACAAAGGACCAGGAAACAGACCCAGAACACATCCCTGAGGAATAAGCAGCATTGGAACTCCCTGATAAGGAATTCAAAAAGAATTATATTTAGGTACCTTCAACAGATTAAGAGACAGATCAAGGAAAATACTGACAAAATTGAGGAAGACAAAGAGAAAACCCTAGAACGATTTTGGAAGAAAATACAAGAACAAAATTACAAAATAAATGAAAAATTAGAAATGATTCTAAATCTACAGATAGAAATCCAGAAGATTCATACTAAGTTTTCAGAAATAGATAACACATTGAATGGGCAAAGGAGTATAATTGAATCAATGGAAGACAGAATTAGTGAAATTGAAGATGAATACCTCGATACTTCTTTGGAAAGGAATCAATCAGAAAAAAGATCAAAACAAAATTAAGAAAGCCTAAGGTTCATGTGGGATACCATCAAAAGGAATAACCTACATGTAATAGGAATTCCAGAACAGGAAGAGACGAATAAAACCACAGAGAAAACTGTCCAAGATTTTTGGAAGAGAAGTTCCCTGGTATAATGAAAGTTGAGAATATATCCATTCAGGAAGTCCAACAAACCCCAAACAGGATAGACCCCAAAAGAACATCACCAAGACATATCATCATCAAACTCACCAAAACCAAAGACAAAGAAAGAATCCTGAAAGCAATATGGGAAAAATGAGAAGTTACCTACAGAGGGTAACTGATAAGACTAAGCTCTGATTTCTCAGCAGAAACCATGCAGGTGAGAAGGCAGTGGGATGGTATATATAAAACCCTGAAAGAAAAAAAAATTCCATCCAAGAACTATATACCCAGAAAAATTGTCCCTCAAAAATGATGGTGTGATAGTGAAATTAAGACATTTCCAGATAAGCAGAAATTAAGGGAATTTTTTAAAACCAGACCAACCTTACAAAAGATACTAAAGGGAGTACTTTTGATAGAGAACCAACAACAGCAGTAACAACTGACCATTAACAACCAACTGACACAGGATGACATAACCCAGAAACCAATCCAGTTATGGAAGTATCTAAAGTAAATAAGCCTATAAGATTGTAAACAGAGATATCAACTGACAAATGAGGACAACTACAAACCAAAAAGAGGGAAAAAATTGTGTAGTTACAGAACTTCTAAATGGTAGGGAAGTCAAGACAACTGCAAGTTAGAATGGACTGTTCTAAACTTGGAAGAAAATTATAAATCACAGGATAACCTCAAAGAAAAATGATAAGCCTTCACATCAAAATAAAAAAGAGGACCAGCACAAATATTTGTTGTTGTTGTTGTGTGCCGTGGAGTCAGACCAACTCATAGTGACCCCTCCTTGGGTTTAGCAAATACTAAAACAATAGCAAATGAAGGGAGTGATGATATGATTCATAAACAAAACAAGCTCAGCACAGAAAATTATATGGACCTAAGAAATCAGCAACACTGCAAAAAAGCACATAACAAAATGACAGCAATGAATTCATACTTGTTGATAATTATACTACCAAAAGAGTAAAAAGAGAACCTAAAGATTGAGAGAAAATATTCGGCACTGACATATCTGACAAGGGACTTATCTCTAAAATTTATAGAAAACTCCAGCAACTCAACAACAAAAAGATTAACAATCCAATTAAACAATGGGCAGAAGACATAAATAGACACTTCATCAAAGAGGATATTCAGGCAGCCAGCAAATGCATGAAGAAATGCTCACGATCATTAGCCATTAGAGAGATGCAAATCAAAACAACAATGAGATACTATCTCACCCCAGCACTAATGGCAAAGTTCAACAAGACAGAAAATAACATGCTGGCAAGGATGTGGAAAGATTGGGAATCTCATACAGTGCTAGTGCGACTGTAAAATGATACAACCACTGTGGACAACAGTATGGCAAGTCCTTAAAAAGCTGGAATTAGAAATAACATTTGACCCAGCAATCCCATTACTAGGTATATATCCTAAAGAAGTGAGAGCCAGGACAAAAACAGATATATGCACACCCATGTTCATCGCAGCACTATTTACAATAGCCAAAGATGGAAACAACCTGGGTGTGCCTCAACAGAAGAATGGATAACCAAACTGTGGTACATACACACAATGACTACTAAGCAACACTAAAAAATAATGTAGAATCTGCAAAACACTGCATAACATGGTGAACTTGGAGGACATTATGCTGAGTGAAATAAGTCAATCACAGAAGGACAAATATAGTATTAGTTCGTTGTTGTGGAAGGTCAAGGAAAGGTTTTTATATGGAGGGAAACTTTCTTTGTTGGTTGCCAGGGGTGGGAGGAGAGGGGAGGAAACAGTGCAAAAAAAAAAAAATTGCATTGACCCATGTCACTTTGTTGTTGTTGTTATGTGCCATCGACTGCCACGTCTTTCTCCTCCTGACCTTCCTTTTTTTTAAAGTACATTTTATTGAAATATCATTTATGTACAGTGAAATACAGAAAACGTCACTTTAGTTTTGTGTATTTCACTGTACATAAATGATATTGCAATAAAATGTAATTTTTTTAAAAAAAAGGAAGGTCAGCAGGAGAAAGATGCGGCAGTCTACTTCTATAAAGATTATAGCCTTGGAAACGCTACGAGGCAGTTCTCTCTACTCTTGGGTCGCTATGCATCAGAATCAAATTGATGGCAATGAGTAGTGGGCAGTAGTAATAGGAGTTTAGTAAATAATTCACATTTCAAGAAAGAGTAAGTGAGGAGTGCTGACCAGACTACCTTTCCTGCTCTTCTCTCTCTCCAGGAGTGACCCATGCAGCCATCTGGGCGGCTTGCATTTCTTACCTCAGTGCGGCGGTTCCCCCTGAGCTGAGGACTTCTGCCCAGGGCATCCTGCAAGGCCTCCACCTGGGTTTGGGGCGAGGCTGTGGTGCCATGATTGGAGGCGTGTTAGTCAATTATTTTGGTAAGCATGGCTTTCTCTTTTTTCCTTTCTTATGTGATAAAAATTTATTATTTAGCAACATTTCAATAAACACATTATTACTGAAGATTGCTAGAAATCGAACTCCAGTATTCATATTCTTTTCCTAGATTTCATGGTATTCATAATTGTAAAGGAGTATGCTATTGGAAGGAGCTCTGGTGGAGCAGTGGTTAAAAGTATTTGGCTGCTAACCCAAAGATCAGTGGTTCAAACCCACCCACTGCTTTGTGGGAGAAATATGAGGCTGTCTGCATCCTTAAAGATTTACAGCCTTGGAAATCCTATGGGCATTTTTACTCAGTCCTAAAGGGTTGCTAAGAGTCGGAATCAACTTGATGGCAGTGGATGGGTGGTGGTGAAGCTTATTAGGTGCTTAGAATGTTAGGTAACAGGGCCAGCCTGTTACCGTGCATGCTCTTCTGGTAAGCTGCTCAATGAAGTGCTGCTGATACCTCACAAGAGCCTGAAAGAGCATGTGTGCCTGTGGTTTGAAGTAAGGTAGGCAAAACTTGCTGATAGTAATGCTAGGGAAAGAAAATCCATTATTGTCATTCCATCAGGGTATTATGAACTAGAAAAACTTAACTATATGCTGGCTTTCTATGTCACTACACCTATGAGAACACAATCTGTCTGCCTTGTCAGATTTCCCTTGTTAGAAATATCAGGGGCTGGGGTGGAAATGCTGGTTATTCTCTTTCAAGGATCTTGAATGATCAGTCATCTATCTAAAGTGGGCCCAGGGATGTCTGAATTTATAGCACAAGTTGTACCCAGCTGTTCCAACTACAGATTAACAGAGCTGTTTGATAGTAGTTGGGTAAATTGTCTTTATGAAGAGGAGATCACCATTGAATTTTATGGCAAAAAGACACTCGTACAATCCATTTATAAGTAAAGTTACATTAATTGACCTATGATAGATCTAGTACCAGCACCTGGGTCTCCTGACACCTACCAACCAAAAAAACTCTAAACTGACTGCCATTGAGTCTATTCTGACTCATAGCAACTCCTATTGGATTTCCAAGGCTGTAAATCTTTTGGAAGCAGAATGTCCTATCTTTCTTCTGCAGACCTGCTGGTGGGTTCAAACCACCACCTTCTGGTTAGCAGCCAAATGCCTTAACCACTGCACTACCAGAGCTCCTGGACACTTACCCAGCCCTGTGTGACAGGGCTAACGGCCAAGTGCTTTTGTTTGGTTGGTCCCAAGTTCGGCCACATTTGCCATGCACTTCAGAGCATTGAAGTTTTTGGATGAGGGCTCTCTGCATTTTCTGAATTTACTTTATAGAATGCTCTGTTTGTTTACACAGGCGCTGCTGCAACCTTCCGAGGGATTGGCATGGCCTGCCTGGTAATCCTCCTGCTCTTTGCCCTGATCCAGTGGCTGGCAGTGCCAGATGAGGAAGAAGGTAAACATCCCCATTCTTGATGGGTCTAAGTGTCAAACCAGGGGAATTCTACACCACATAATCCCATTAGTAGTAACAGAGTGTACAACAGATGTATTTAGTTAGATTTTCTTGTTGTTTGTTGTTGTTTGCCATTGAGTCGGCCCCGACTCATAGCGACCCCTCCTTGGGTTTCCGAGGCAGTATCACTACGGAAGTAGGAATGCCCAACATTTTTTCTTAGTGGTGTGTAAATGCACTCATGTGTACCATTGCTGGAGAGAAGCCACCTCCTGTGTTGAAAAGAGTATGGTAATTTTAAGTAGACTGAGGTTTTCTTGGTTTTGTTTTATGGTATGAGGTACTAGGGAAGAATTAGTTTTAAATTTCTCTGATATTCTAAAGGGATTTCAAATTTAAATGAAATCTTAGTCTTTATGCCTTTATCCTCATTTGAAAAAAAACAAACACTCTACAACATCTAAACTTTAAATTTGAAATCTTCTTTGAACCAGCCATGGCCTTTATTAAAATGGTTATACAAAAAGGAGATTATGTAAAACACTTTGTGTGGCTGAGAGTAAGTTGAATCTTTTTTATAGAAAAGGCCAGTCAGTAGAATGGTAATAATGTTGCTCAGTTCTTGGTCCCAGAAGTGGCCTCATCTTCTTTGAGTACCCACCTTTTGAGAGCCCTTTGCTTCTACCTGAAGAGAAAAACTGGCTTGTACCAGAAACTCCACAGACAGATTTAATTGCAATAGGTAACACAGAAAGTAAGATCAAACTGATTTTTCTCATTTACGTTCATCTGTAATCCTAACTGGGCCACATATTTTACACAGCCTTGGTCCATCCCTTTGGTAAAAGGCCAGTAGAAATCACTGTCACATGCCTTTTCTTGTATATCTGATGTATACAGTAAGTCCCCAGATCATGGACATTTGACTTACAGACAACTCATACTTGCCTTTAATTTTATGTAAATTTGCCCTCACTTTGAAACGATTGAACCAACCCCTACTTGCAACAAATTCTTTATCATAATCACCTTTCCTTGTTGCACATGAAGCTTTTATTTTATTGTGATTAGGGTGAAAGTTTACAGAGCAAATTCACTTTCCATACAGCAGCTCACATACACTTTGTCTTATGACATTGACTACAATTTACCACAGTGCAACAGCTCCCCTTCCACTTCCTCCCCATAGTTACCTCTTCCCTGTGTCGTTCCCTCCATGCACTCCTGCCCCCTGAGCTGTGTCCCTGTGTATAAGCAGCCCTTCTATTCTCCCATGGTTGTTCTCTCCATGGAGTGTATCTGCCTAGTATAAATGTTCACCTCATATGCCTGTCTTTTGTTTGGCTGAAAGCCACAGGTGTGGGTTCAATTCCAGACCTGAAGGGCAGCTAGGGGCCATAGTCTTAGTGGTTCCATCAGGCTCTATCAGACCAGCAAACCTGGCCCCCCCCTTTTTTTCTTTTCCAAATGATTTTGAGTTTTGTTCTACATTGTTCTCCCACTCTACCCAGGATCTCCTACGTAGATTACTCTCTGAGTGGTTGACAGTGGTAGTCTGACACCATCTAGTTCTTCTGGTCTCATAGTCATATAGGATGAGGATCACATGGTGTACCAGTTGCTTGGACTAATTGTTTCCATGAATGTTTGGTTTTCTTCATTCTTCTTTGCTCTGGATGAGGAGCGATCCATCGTTGCATCTAGATGGCTGTTTGTAAGCTTTTAAGCTCCCAGTTACTACTCACCAAAGTAGGAGGTGGAACAATGTTTTGTGTAGTGTGTTATGCCAATTGAGCTTGATGTCCCCTACGACTGTAGTCCCAAGCCCACAGGTTCAACTACTCGCTCCCTCTGGGTAGCTGGCTGTACCCAAGAAGTAATTATAACCTTGTCCCTTGTCAGCTCTACTATACATCTGGGAATTCTTACAGATCATAGAATACTCCTGTAGAAACATTGCCTGCTAACCCTATACCACATGCTGCTTTTAAATCACTGAAGAGGCTTGAGCCTTTTCTTGCACTAAAGTAAGGCTAAATAAGCACTGTATGCATCTGTTCCAACTTACCTCCATATTAAACTTAAAAACACCTAGGAATAGATCTCATTTGTAACCTGGGGACTGCCTGCATAACAGAATGAAACATTGCCCAGTGCTGTGCCATCTTCATGATTGTTGGCATATTTGAGTCCATTGTTGCAGCTATTATGTCAACACATCTCACTGAGGATTTCTCTCATTTTTGCTGATCCTCCAGTTTACCAACCATAATGTTCTTTTCTAGCAATTTACTGTACATTAAGCCCTATAGATGATAGAGGTTTCAAAACCCTGAAAAATGATATCATGTTTATTTATTCGGTATTTGCACCAAGTAAAGAAGTCTCTGGTAAACAGCAATTTATTAATGTTGCATAGCATACTAAAATAGGATTATGGGATTGTTGCTTTTATTTTTTCTTTGTTTAAATATGAAGAAAATCCTGAAACATGATTTAAACATTATTTTCTCTCCAGACAAGACAATGTTGGCAGAGAGGATTCCTGTTCCCTCCAGTCCTGTTCCCATAGCAACCATCGACTTGGTACAGCAACAGACAGAAGATGTCATGCCACGCATTGAGCCCAGACTTCCACCCAAGAAAACCAAGCACCAGGAAGAACAAGAAGATGTGAACAAACCAGCCTGGGGAGTCAGCTCTTCTCCCTGGGTGACCTTTATCTATGTGCTCTATCAAATTAAAGAGATGATGCAACTAACAAGAGACAGTCGTGCTTCAGAGATACAGCCTTTACAGGTAAAATTTCTCTGCTTGTTAGTAATGTCACCATTCAACCAGAAAGATATTTTGAAGGTCCATTAAGGGAAATAGACATATAAATAATTTCAGTACTCTGTGATAAGTATATTACAGAGGTGTATACAAGGTCCCAGAGAGGGCAAATTCTGCATTATGGAACTTAGGAAGACTTCACAGAGAAGGTGGTATTTCTTGAGAGAAATAAAATAAATTAATTCACTCTGATTTTTTGTATTTATTTAAAATTTCAAGACTGGTGAATACCAGATGTAATGAGAATATGTGATATTTGAATTGGGGGACCCATATTTATTAATCTCTAATGCCAAATTCTAGTGCTGGGAATTATTTATAATAGGACCTCCATAAATCCCTGTGAATTAATTAAATAGTCAGTCACCTGAACCACAGTATGGTCTGGTCAAGCTGCTTACTCAGTGGAAGTGTGGTTTTGCTAGTCTCCCCTGAGTAAAATCAAATCATGTTGATAAAACAGCATGGGTAATTATGTAACTGAAACTACATCCTGATTGTGAAAAATGAGTAAGTGACTTCTATGAATAGTTTGGCTAAAGTAATGAGTTCCACTTCCCTCTTTTTATATTAATCACTTCCTTTTATTTGTATCATTGTAAGTTCATATAACCTCTGTATCTAGAGTCACTTCAGAGGACACATAAGGAAATAAATAAAGGGGAAAAACTTGAAAATAAAGGGTGGTTTGTGTAATTTCCCTTGTAGGAAATTTGTTAAAGCCCCTTACTTAAATTTATCTTGAATTGTAAACTAACATATAATATTTGCATAATTTTAACCAAATCTGATTCTTCATTGGTAACCATGATGCATGATCTTATTTATTTTTTCCATCAAGATAATAAATTCCCATATATCTCCTGCTCAGTTAATAACTGACCTATCGGGGTGGGCAGAGCAAATAAAACATGCTAATATCTTACAGCAGGGAGGTGAAGTAGGACAAAGGATGACACTGGATGTCTGAAGCAATCTTTTCATTACTATGGGTAAAATTACTCATTACTCATACTCATTTTCATAAAAGCCTATTAGGCTTAATGGCATTTTTTTTTAAGAAATGTTTTTTTGTACCTGATATGTTAAGATTAATCAGAACTGTTAGATATTATGACATAATTATTCTTCTGAAGTCTTACACTAAGATTTTTTAAAATATATTTTAGACTCAATCACACAAATGAAATTTTTTTTTTTTTTTTGTTCTCAACTATTTGAAGCAATGGGTACTAATTCATAGGAAAAGTCCCTCTTTTTAAAAACATGATTCCTGGCTTATTAAAAAAACAAACATGGCATTTTATAGAAATTTCTGCAGGTGATACATGACAGCAAATGTGTGCTCACAGTTACGGTTTGTTATGTAAGTGCCTGTTTACATTTCCTTTTTTACCTGGACATTATCTTATTTAACTTTTAATGCATACTTTGACATCCCAAATATACACGTGGACTTTTAATTCCAGGGCATTCTTCTCCTGGTTTTGTATTCAAGGCTGAGAATGCTTTATTACTTACTGTTAGATGAGGCGTATGGGAGCTCTGGTGGTGCAAATGGTTAAGTGCTCAGCTGCTAACCGAAAGATTGAGGGTTCAAATCCATCCAGCCACTGTGCAGAAAAAAAGACCTTGCAATCTGCTTCCATAAAGATTATAAACAGAAAACCCTAAAGAGCAGTTCTCCTCTGTCACATGGGGTCACTCTGAATTGGAGTTTACTCAGTGGTGCCCAACAACAAAGGCATCTTTCCACCTCTGAATTCTGTGGTCCTAGAAAGCAGCACAGAGCCCCTGGGTGGTGCAAACAGTTAATGCACCTGACTGCTAACCAAAAGGCTGGAGGTCACATCCATCCAGAGGTGTCTTGAAAGAAAGGCCTGGCAATCTACTTCTGAGAAATTAGCTATTGAAAACTCCGTGGAGCACAGTTCTACTCTGACACACAGGGGTCACCATGAGTTAGAATTGATTTGATGGGAGCTGGTTTTTAGAAAATGGCCCAAGCTTTAGTTATTCAGTGCTGCATGCCCAGGGACTTGCCACAGTGGCTGGTGGGAGCTCAGTAAATACCTGGTGATGTAAATTGCTGGCCTAGTAGTAACAGGCATCTTGGTAGTAATGTTCCTATGTCTAAAAGAGACATCTACTCATAGTGTTTGTGTTTTTCATGCGGCTTTGGCAGTTGCACATAGGAAAAGAGATGAAAGGTAAGACATTCTATCCTTATTCCTCTAGTATTTTCCCTCCTGAAGTGGAAACTTCAGGGTGGTTCCCTCATGTTCCCTATATCTTAACTTGAAAACATATGAACATATGAAAAGTGTTGGATGTATTTGCTGTCACTGACCATGAGACATCTTCTGTTTCCTTCCCAGGGGACCAGTGAGAATCGAGAATATTCTTCAGCTGGTGGAGCCCAGCCTGTCCCATGTGAGACTCATGCTGACCCATCCAGAAATCAGCCATCCCCTAAAGCAGCCGCATCTCAGACCCAGCCCAGCCTCACTCCTCGCAGTGTAGACCAGCACGTGGAGGCAAGTCAGGAGCCGCGGGCCCAGCCTGCTGTCGAAGGACACTGAGGGGACCCTTCTCATCTCATAATCTGCATGGAATGGGTTCCTCCACCAGCACACAGGGAGAGGTACCCCAAACCCAGGACATGCTTTCCCTTGAGGATCATAGCACCACATATGCTTCTAAATATCTAAACTCATTAACATGGAAACATGCACATAGGAGCTACAGTACTTGTTGAAAGGAAAAGGTAAACTTTCATAATTCCATTGCAATTACAGAAAGGAGATGGAGTTCGAGGAGGACTCTCAGCTCTTTTTGGTGGTTAGGTTAAGTGCTATAGGACTTCTCTGCCAGTGGAGCAAAACTTGAGACCAGCAGTTACACTGAGTAAGTGGAGGGAAGGTGTTTCAAGGTGAATGCTGATACAGTTCTCTCTTTGTATTATTTATTCTATTAATTTGGTTTTTAGGGGTAAACTGGGAGGAAACAGCATGCATCTATAGTTTTTTTTTTTTCTTGAGGAGAATCATTTCAAAAAGTATAAGACATATTTAAAAAGTAACCAGATAAAAGTTAGGAGAATATATGATTTCGTTTAAAAAGTTTCATCAGAATCTTTCCATATCTGTAGCTGATATATTTTTATATGTTTATGAGATGTAATAAAAATAGTTGGTTCTTTGAACAGTAAAAGCTATAATTGATGACTGCAGGCTCAGTTGAGCTTTAAAATGCCTTTTTTTTTTTTTTAATGGACTTTACAGAAGACCAGAAATGGGGGAAAATTTAAAATAAACCAACTCAGTATCCTGTGGCTTGTTAGACAAGGAGTTACTAAAAATATTGATACTATAAATAGCCTTTATCACTGTTTACCATTTTATAGTGAGCTGGGCTCTAATTAGCTGGTTGAATAAAACAAAACAAAAATCACAGAATTCCTAAGGCTTTCTTCAGTTAAGCAATGCTATTTACAAATAGCAGTATAAGATTTAAGTGCCTGGGGGAGGGATAGATACAATTTGTGAAAATTACATAATGGGTCAGTTTTTGTTGTTTTGTTTTTGGTGAGGGAAAAGGGTAGTGAATAGGAAACCAGGAATGGGAAGGAAGGGAATAAGAAGTAACTGAACATTTTAATGACTTCAAGAGGCAAATCTCAGTGTATTCTTTCGCATGAAGAATAGGCAAATGGAGAGAAATAGGAATAGGAAAATGAACACTGGAGAGTTCAGATATGAGTATGCAACTGTAAATATTGCAGCCACAGTCAGAACGGTGCCTGGGTGAATCATGCAGACAGCTTGCTGCTAACAATGGAAGCTGAGGTTCGTATGAAGCAGTGGGGGAAGGTTGTGGAGAAGGGAACACTGCTTTCACTGAAGGTTAGTTAGTCTGTATAATAGTATGGACCAGCACAGGTGTAAGGAAAGAAAAGAACCACGTTAAAAATGATCAACTCGCCTTGCCCTCTGGTTGGACAGGCTCAACTGTCAAGGGAAGGTACCTCCATGACACATAGGGCTGCCCCACACTAGATCTTGGAGAAGGAAACTCTATATATGGATGTTTAGCTGTGCCACAAAACACAGCTTAAAATAACGGAGAGAAATAGAATTTAGCAAATAGTTATTTTTGCACTTGAACTGAAACATACTGTACTGTAAATTATCATGACTCATTTTAAGTGACCTTTAAAATCAGATGTATTTATTATGCTTATGTAATTATAGAAATAAATAAATGGGTGACAGGCTGAACCCCACCTATGAATGTACAGTCTGTGGATTTGTGAAACTGACAAAAGTCAAAAACTTACACTGTATCTTGTGTTTACAGTTCTGATTTATTTCTTTGAAAAGCCTGCTGTTTTGGAAATGCACAGTTGACATGTTGAAATAAAAATAAATACAATTTTTAAATGTTTCTTAAATTATAAAGATGTGTTTGAAAAAACAAAAGTCCTTTACTGCGTAATGAATGAGGCCAAATTCAACAGGCCTTTGTAATGGAACGTTTACTATGAGAGCTGATTCAATAATGCAGCAATTTCCAGCCTTTTAGAGCAGATATCCTCATGGGTTTGTGGACTTGTGACTTTTTCTTCTTGTCCTCAAAGTGCCATGTGTCATTTAAAAAAAACAATAAAATGAGTTCAAATTAAATTTTGATTGAGGATTTTATAACCCCTCTGAGAGCCCTGGAAATACCCATGGGTGTCACAAAGCCCAGGCTGGTAATCACTGCCTTAATGACTTATTTCATACTGTTTCCCCTATGATTGTGGGAAAAGTAAATTACCCCAGAGTGCTGCACTTTTGTGGACCCAAAGAGGTTAGTTGATAATTACTAAAGTATTCCTCAAAGCCTTAAGTATAATAAGAGATGATTGTAATACATATATTGTCCACGAGCCCGTAAACTTCATGAAAAGACTATGAATTCATAGGAAGAACTCGCTGCTTTTAGAAAAAGAAGATAGTTTATTAATCCTGCCATAGTGCACATGAAGCAGGTGGCTGGCAGGTAGTTTCCCTCTGATTTGCAGTGCCTTCTAGTACTGCTAGGGGTGGGTAGGTGGGCTACTGCTTCACTTCTCCTCCCAGCCTGTCTGGAGTTAAGCAGTGAATGTGGGATATGGGAGGGGAACTTGTTATGTGCCAATGAGATTATCATTTTGTCTGTATCTATCACTATTTCCATTTTAAATACGAAGATTACAAAACTAACAGAGCTTATGTTACATGACCAAGGTCATAAAGCCAGGATTTTAACTCAAATCTGCCTGACGACAAAGTACAGGTCTGTCCAACACCTTCATCCATGCCAGGAGGCAGGAGACCATTCTTTGCTTCTGCTCTGGCCTGAAACTGGCCTGAAACTGATACACATGTGTGTGGTTGCATTTCCATTTAGGATTTCTAGATATTCCAAAGTACCTAGAAATCTAGTACCTTCGAAAGAAATTCCTGAAATTTTGTTAATTGTGAAAGTGATTGCACCCTGGAGGTGAAGTTGGTTGGCTGAGCATTCCTAAAGAGAAAACCCAGAGGAACCCTGAAGACCAGTGTCAAGGGGGTCAGGAAGAGCAGGCAGACACTCCCATAGCTTGGTATCCTAAGGCCATGGCTTTGTACGGAGCAGCACTGCCTAAGGGAATTTACTGTGATGATGGAAACATTCTATGTGCTGTCCAGGATGGCATCCATTGCTGTTGCTAGTTGCGGTCGACTCCGACTCATCCCTGGGTCCTGCACCATCTTTGTGGTTGTTATGAGCCTGTTGTTGTGGCTACTGAGTCAGTGCATCTTGTGAGGGTGTCACGCATTTTCACTGGCCCTCTGCTTTACCAAGTATGGTGTTCTTTCCTGCTGTTTCCCGATGATGTGTCCTAAGTGAGTTGAAGTCTTGCCGTCTTCACTTCTAAGGAATGTTCTGGTTGTATTTCTTTTACCCTTTTCAAGACTTAATTATTTTCTGCTTTGAATTCTTTGTGGAAACTATGTGCTTTCAGTAATGTGAGGTATTTTGAATGAAATGAAAAAAAAAAAAAATGTTTTGAGGTTAATATGGATTTTCTCATACAGTTAATGGGACACATATGTCCTGAAGGGGTTTCTGGTGCTGGGGTTGGTAGGAGGAGGCCCATTTCTTCAGATTCATGCAATTACACAGGCCCCTACCAGGTGGCAGCATGCACTAACAGTGGGATAGCAGCTTCTCACTAAACTCCAGCGGAAGAAAATGTAGGTGGGCACTGTATGTCCCACAGGTCACATAAATGGTTAAGACTGATTGGTTTTTTCTCTTGGCAGTCCACAATATATTCAATATTCTTTGCCAGCACTACAGTTTGAATGTATTGACTCTTTGTCTTCCTTTTCATTATCCAGTTTTCACACGTATATGAGGTAACTGAAAATGTCATGGCTTGGGGGTCACCTTAGTCATAAAAGTGGTATCTTTGCTTTTTAAAACTTTAAAACAGCTGATTTGCCCAATGCAATAGCCATTAGCTGTAAGCATTTGAAATGTGGCTAGTGTGTCTGAGAAATTAGATTTCTCTATTTATTTAAACAGCCACATGTAGCTTGTGGCTACTGTGTTGGACAGCATACACAGGAAGAGATCACCTTTGGCAGATGTCTGCATCTCCATTTCCTCATCTCCAAGAGAGGCTGTACTTTCAGTTTTCTGTGAAGATGAGGGTGTGCTTGTGACAAGCTGACTGTGGGGAAAGAAGACGAGTTTCCATTCAGAAGTTCATCTGCCCTTTGTTGTGTAAGGACAAGGCTTAGGCTATGAAGTCTTAAACCTCTCCTACACCATTTGAGCAAAGCTCTAAGAATACCCAGCTCAAGAATTCCAAACCATCAAGCAGATGGGAGAGTGCCTGGAAAGGGATAGAGTAAAGCGGCGGAAGAAGGGGGAAGTGTTTTTTCAGGTCAGAAAGTAATTCACCTTATGCTAGAACAAACTGTGGTTTGAGATAAAGGAGTAACTGGAAAGCTGCTGATGGCTAGAATGGGGAAGTGAGTTAGTCCAGGTAGATATATCTCACTCATCTCCCATCTGCCTTGGGCAGCTAATCTGGGACCACCTGTCCCACGGCGGCATCAGGAAGGTCCCAGCTTTTATGTGGCAGCTAAAGGACCTTCTAGAGCTGCGGTTAGGCGTGCAGGCTTTGGGGTTGACATGTCTATATTAGAGCCCCTAGCTCTGACAGTTGACACAAAAGCCTCTCTGGGCCTCAGATCTCTCCTCTGTGAAACTGAGATGATTACAGAACCTACCTGGTAGGTTTGTGTGATGTTTAAGTGACATACCTAATATGTAGTATATTATTTAAAAAAAAAAAAAATTCCCATCGTTGTGTGGCAAATGGCCTAGGGCAAAAAGAGTTCTATCTAATTTTCCCATCCAGGGCCTAGCCATTGGATTTTAGTGTTTTGGTGGTGTTTAAATCTATAATCCTATTCCATTTCCCCAGACTACAATGTCATGCTAAATATATCTACCCCATAAGCTGTACAAAAAAAAATGTTCAATTCTAACATGCATT